TTGTTGTTGTTGTTGTTGTTGTTGTTGGTGTTGTGGTTGTTGTTGTTGTTGTTGTTGTTGTTGTTGTTGTTGTTGTTGTTGTTGTTGTTGTTGTTGTTGTTGTTGTTGTTGTTGTTGTTGTTGTTGTTGTTGTTGTTGTTGTTGTTGTTGGTGTGTTGTTGTTGTTGTTGTTGTGGTTGTTGTTGTTGTTGTCGTTGTTGTTGTTGTGGTTGTCATGGTCGGCGTTGTTCTTGTTCTTGTTGTTGTGGTTGTTGTTGTGGTGTTGTACGTGTGTTGTCGTTGTTGTAGTTGTTGTAGTTGTGTTGTTGTTGTCGGTTGTTGTGGTTGTTGTTGTGGTTGTGGTTGTGGTTGTGGTTGTTGTTGTGGTTGTTGTTGTGGTTGTGGTTGTGGTTGTGGTGGTTGTTGTTGTTGTTGTTGTTGTTGTTGTTGTTGTTGTTGTTGTTGTTGTTGTTGTTGTTGTTGTTGTTTGTGGTTGTTGTTGTTGTGGTTGTTGTTGTTGTTGTTGTTGTTGTTGTTGTTGTTGTTGTTGTTGTTGTTGTTGTTGTTGTGGTTGTTGTTGTTGTTGTTGTGGTTGTGGTTGTGGTTGCTGTTGCTGTTGCTGTTGTTGCTGTTGTTGCTGTTGTTGTTGTTGTTGTTGTGGTTGTTGTGGTTGTGGTTGTTGTGGTTGTGGTTGTGGTTTTTCTGGTTGTTGTTGTGGTTTGTGGTTGTGGTTGTTGTTGTTGTTGTTGTTGTGGTTGTGGTGGTTGTTGTTGTTGTTGCTGTTGTTTTTGCTGTTTGTGGTGGTGTTGGTGGTGTTGGTGCTGTTGGTGGTTGGTGTCGTTGGTGTTGTTGGTGTTGTTGTTGCTGGTGGTGGTGGTGGGCCTATTCTGCACGGTCCATTGCTTCCACAGCCAAGACTTGTGTCAATTCTGCCTTGTTAATTTGGAGGAGCTTGGTATCAAACCAAAGCACTTTCAGCTCATCTCCAAGATTCTCTTTGACAACAAGGCCGTCCCTAAGTTTCTTTGGTTGCTTTGGCTCATGTTCGAAACCAACCAACAAACTTTGGGCTCTAGACTGATGGCTCTGGAGCGTTTGATTCGTTCAGAGCCTTTCCGACTCTTTTTCTGCCAGGACGCAAGAAGTAAGGACAAGAAGCCCACACTGCTCACCGGCGAGGCAAATTTAGAAGCAGAAATGAGACAAAAGCAGACGTTATCTATGAAAATAATCAATAATACTTAAACATCATCTACAGTATAGATCAGTATAGAATATAGAATATATTTCTTGCAATTTAGTTGAGCAATTTCTTTTGTCTTGGAGTGCAGGAAATCGTTGGTGAGTTGTTCCGTCTGCAGCCTGGGACTCCTTTGAACTTCTCTGACCTTGCCAGAACGGAGAAGGCATCATGGAGAAAGCAAGTTTGTGAGACTTCGATAGATTTCAGTAGATTTCAATGGATTCAATAGATTTCAATGGATTTCAATGGATTTTGCGGAATTGCCAACGCGCCAAAAACGATAAACACGTGGAACGAATTGAAGAACTTGCCGCAACTGAGCTTGTCTTATCTCGCTTTCCTTGCCAGAAGCTCATGGAGCAGCGAAAGGAGATAAAAAAGCGAATCAGCATTGACCATAGTTCCAATTCTTTCACGACGGTATATCTGGTTGTTTTTTGAATGCGCCGGTTATAACGGTTACCTATTCTAGCCCTAGGTCGCATTGAGCTCCTCCTAGCCGCTGCAATGGGCAAGACTGTTGGCTCTACTAGTTTGATTTCGACTGGGTGAAAGACTCAGATTGCCATGGATTTTCTGCAATTTTCTGCACCTTTCGCGGATTCCACGGGCTGGGCGCATTTTGGTGCCAAGGTCACCCTCGAACGCCTCGAAAGAGAGCCCGTGACCTGGAAGCTTCCACATACTGCAGCTGTCCGCACAGGTCTTGATTTGATGTTGATTTGAATGATATTGAATGTCAATCGATTTAGCTGAGACATTATGAAACAGCACAAATATTTAAGCGCTTACGCGCAACAGCCGGCCAGGGGCCCAACCATGGGGGCCGTGGCGGCGGACGTAGGTGTAGTGGTTCGTGCAGGGAGCAAGACTGGTTGTTGTGGTTGTGGTTGTGGTTGTGGTTAGTGGTTAGTTGTTGGTCGTTGGTTGTTGTTGTTGCTGTTGTTGTTGTTGTTGCTGTTGTTGTTGTTGTTGCTGTTGTTGTTGCTGTTGTTGTTGTTGTTGTTGTTGTTGTTGTTGTTGTTGGTGTTGGTGTTGGTGTTGGTGTTGTTGTTGTTGTTGTTGCTGTTGCTGTTGTTGTTGTTGCGCTGGGGCCATGCCCGGCAGAGCGTCCGAAGGGACGCCGAGAGATACCTGGGCGGGTCCCGGCAGCATCGGCACCGGCGGGCGGGTGTGTCCGGAGTAGCTGGTTTGAAGCCTTGGTCAGCTAGAGCGTGGCTCCGGGGAGAGTCAGAGCGTAGCTCAGATGGACCAGAGAAAGTCAAGTGTCAACCCGGCTTGTTTGGAAGGCATGTTTAGAGACGCAACGGCGGCAATTCGGTCCGGCGCGTGTGCCCAACGGCATGGCAAGTTTCGAGAACGGCACGTTGAAAGGCAGGGGGCGGTAGCTTTGGTCAGCTAGAGCGTGGCTCAAGCGAGTGTCAGAGCGTTGCTCAGACCGACCAAGGTGAACGGTCAACCCGGCTTGGTTGGACGGGCATGTTTCTTTGGCACGTATGGCCTGGCCAGGAAAGGAAAAAGCATGTGTCCGGAGTAGCTGGTTTGAAGCCTGAGTCGATCAGAGGAGGCCAACTGTCAACCCGGCGTGTTGTGAAGGGCATGTTTAGAGAAGCAACGTAGCTGATGCCTTCCTCCAGCGAAGGTTAGACTGTAGGGTCAATCGACTAAAGAAGGGCACCCGTCTGCCCGGCTGGTTGACACATGCCGTCGGCCGGTGTCGAGAAGCACCGTCGAGGATCCGGTGCTGCATGTTATCACAAGGGCAAAGCACGTTCCGAGGCGGGCCTACGCAGACAGGCAGCATCCGAATTGCAAACCATGCCAGCAGTTTACTGCACAGATCCGGCTGCACCTAGGGCGTTACCCAGGCACTCGCCAAAGCGCAACCGTTCCTTCCCAGCAGTGTGTTTTAATCCGAACACGGCAGCCAACGAAAATAGAGGGTCAGTCTGGTCCAGGTGTTCGGTCTGTTGGAGGGTTGGTCTGCCCCAGGCGTTCCGTCGCGATCGCTTTGCCGGCAAGGGAAAAAGCATGTGTACAGTGAACGCAGCCTCTGTGGAACCGGCCGGGAGGGACGAAGTGTCCGGAGTAGCTCGTTTGAAGCCTTGGTCAGCTAGAGCGTTGCTGAAGCGAGCGTCCGAGCGTTGCTCAGCTCGACCAGAGAAGGCCAACTGGCAACCCGGCTTGTTTGGAAGGGCATGTTTAGAGAAGCAACGAAGGTGATCCGGTGTGGCACGTGTTCACAACGGCATGGCAAGTTTCGAGAGCGGCATGTTTAAAGGCAGGGGGCGGTAGCTTTGGTCAGCTAGAGCGTTGCTCAAGCGAGTGTCAGAGCGTTGCTCAGACCGACCAGAGCAGGGCAGCGGTCAACCCGGCTTGTTTTGATGTGAAGAGCAATGCAGGCAATCCCGCGTGGCATGTTGACCGAACGGTAGCACAGGCAGGGTGCAGAGCTTTGGTCAGCTGTTTCGAACGTATGTCTCGTATCCTTGCCGGCTGAACCTGCAAAGGGCATGCCGCCTGTATCCGATGTAGCATGGTGTCACAACGGCATGGCAAGTTTGGAGAACGGCATGTTTAAGGGCAGGGGGCGGTAGCTTTGTTCAGGGAGAGCATTGCGCAAGCGAGTGTCAGAGCGTTGCTCAGATCGACCACCGCCATGCCTCTGCCATGAAGGGAAAACGGCCTGTGCACTGTTAACGCAGTGTCCTGCGTGGCATGTTTGAAGCCGTGGTCCGCCAGAGGGTTGGTTAAGCGAGTGTCAAAGTCCGGGTCGGACGGACGCAAGGAGGTCAGCAGTGAACCCAGCATGTTTCAAGGAGCAGGTCTGTGCAATGAATTATGTAGCTTGGGTCCGCTGCACGAGCCCAGTGTTGGACCAATATTGGTCCCAGCATATTCCCACTATGAGCCCAAGACTATAAGCTTAGTATAATGTCAATCTGAAACCCAAGATTTAGTGCAGTAGAAGCTTCAGCTTTAGTTCAACCTGTACCCCATGATAATGGTACGTGATAGTACCCACTCATATCCCCCCCACCGGCGGGGCGACGTGGACCGAGCCGGTGGCGAGGTGAGCCGGTGATAGTGAAGTATCATCTTAGCACTACCCGACTTTAAACCCAATAGTCGTCCCACATAGTCCCATTATAATCCCCGTAGAATCTCCATAGTAAGCCCAAGGATCTACCCACCTATAGCAATCCCATCGGCAGGCGACGTGGGCCGAGCCGGTGGCCAGGTGATCGCGTGACAGTGAATTTTAATCCCAGCAGGAGCCTACCACTTAATGAAGCCCCATATTTCTCCCAGCATAGTCCCATCATAGTCCCGCGTGATAGTGAATTAGAATCTCAGCACTAGCCGCCTACTTAAGCCCAATGTTTGTCCCAGCATAGTCCCACCATAGTCCCGCGTGATACTGAATTATAATCTCAGCACAAGCCGCCTACTTAAGCCCAGTCTTTGTCCCAGCATAGTCCCATCATAAGCCTAGTAGAGTCTCCATAGTAAGCCGACGATTTGGTCCATTTGAATGCCAAGACTTACGTCTATACGTCGCCGATGTGAAGAGCTCATGATGGCAGCTACCAAAAGAAAAAGCATGCGTACAGCGAACGTAGCCTCGGTGGAACCCGCCGGTAGGGAAGAAATGTCCTGAGTGGCACGTTCGAAGCCTTCGTCAGCTAGAGCGTTGCTGAAGCGAGAGTCAGAGCGTTGCTCAGATCGACCAGAGAAGGCAAGCGGTCAACCCGGCTTGTTTTGCAGGACATGTTGAAAAGCGCACCGCAGGCAACGGCATGTCTACCGGCACGGTGCAGGAGCTTTGGTCAGCTAGAGCGTTGCTCAAGCGCGTGTCAGAGGGGTGCTCAGAGCGACCAGAGAAGCCTAGCGGTCAACCCGGCATGTTTTGAAGGGCATGTTTAGAAAAGCGCCGCCGGCAACGGCATGTCTACAGGCAGGGTGCAGGACCTTAGGTTAGCTAGAGCGTTGCTCAAGCGCGTATCAGAGCGTTGCCTAGATCAATCAGCGCGTAGCCGACGACTTGGTCCAGTTGAATGTCAAGACTTCTGTCTATGCGTCGCCCATGTGAAGAGCTCATTATATATGGTACCTACCAAAAGAAAAAGCATGGGTACAGCGACCGCAGCCTCGGTGGAACCAGCCGGTAGGGAAGAAATGTCCCGAGTAGAACGTTCGAAGCCTTCGTCAGCTAGAGCGTTGCTTAAGCGAGAGTCAGAGCGTTGCTCGGATCGAACAGAGAAGGTAAGCGGTCAACCCGGCTTGTTTTGCAGGACATGTTTAAAAGCGCACCGCAGGCAACGGCATGTCTACCGGCACGGTGCAGGAGCTTTGGTCAGCTAGAGCGTTGCTCAAGCGCGTGTCAGAGGGGTGCTCAGATCGACCAGAGAAGCCTAGCGGTCAACCCGGCATGTTTTGAAGGGCATGTTTGGAGTCAGCTAGAGCGTTGCTCAAGCGAGTGTCAACGCTTTGCTCAGACCGGAGAAGGCGAACGGTCAGCCCGGCTTGTCTTGCACGACACGTTTGGCAGCCAGAGCGTTGCTCAGACCGACCGGAGAAGGCTAGCGGTCAACCTGGCTGGTTTTGAAGGGCATGCTTAGAAGAGAACCGCTGGCAGCGGCATGTGCACGGGCAGGGTGCAGAGCTTTGGGCAGCAGTTTCGAACGTATTTCTTGTAGCCTTGCCGACTGAACGTTCAAAGGGCATGGTGCCCGTAGGCACCAGGGTTGTTTTTCCGTCACAACGAGGGAAGCGATGTGTACCCTGCCTGCCTTGCCGGCAGATTACCCAGCGAACATGCCGCCTGAGAGCCGATCTGACCGCATACGCAGACAGGCAGTCTCCGAATTGCAAACCGTAATTAAGTTCCACATTTGTCCCAGCATAGTCCCACCATAATCCCGCGTGATAGTGAATTCTAATCTCAGCACTAGCCGCCTACTTAAGCCCAATATTTGTCCCAGAATAGTCCCATCATAATCCTAGTCGAGTCGCCATAGTCAGCCGAAGATTTGGTCCAGTAGAATGCCAAGACGTATGTCTATACGTGGCCCATGTGACGAGCTCATGACGGTACCTCCCAAACGCAGCCTCTGCGGAACCGGCCGGGAGGGAAGAAGTGTCCGGAGTAGCTCGTTTGAAGCCTTGGTCAGCTAGAGCGTTGCTCAAGCGAGAGTTGGAGCGTTGCTCAGCTCGACCAGAGACGGCCAACTGTCAACCCGGCTTGTTTGGAAGGGCATGTTTAGAGAAGCAACGTAGGCGATCCGAAGTGGCATGGTTTCACAACGGCATGGCTAGTTTCGAGAACGGCATGTTTAAAGGCAGGGGGCGGTAGCTTTGGTCAGCTAGAGCGTTGCTCAAGCGAGTGTCAGAGCGTTGCTCAGAGCGACCACGGCGATGCGTCTGCCACGGCCTGTGTCCAGTGAACGCAGTGTCCTGCGTGGCATGTTTGAAGCCGTGGTCCGCCAGAGGGTTGGTTCAGCGAGTGTCAAAGCCTGGGTCGGACCAACGCAAGGAGGTCAGCAGTGAACCCAGCATGTTTCAAGGAGCAGGTCCGTGCAATAAAATTCGGTAGCATGGGTCCGCTGCACGAGCCCAGTGTTAGACCAATATTGGCCCCAGCATATTCCCACTATAAGCCCAAGACTATAAGCTTAGTATAATGTCAATCGGAAATCCGAGAGTTAGTGCAGTAGAAGCTTCAGCTTTAGTTCAACCTGTACCCCATGATAATAGTACATGATAGTACCCACCCATACCCCCCACCGGCGGGGCGACGTGGGCCGAGCCGGTGGCTAGGTGAGCCGGTGATAGTAAATTATAATCCCAGCACTACCCGACTTTAAACCCAATATTTGTCCCATAGTCCCATTATAATCCCCGTAACATCTCCATAGTCAGCCTAAGGATCTACCCACCTATAGCAATCCCATCGGCGGGCGACGTGGTCGAGCCGGTGGCCAGGTTATCGCGTGACAGTGAATTGTAATCCCAGCACGAGCCTACCCCGTAATTAAGGTCCATATTTGTCCCAGCATAGTCCCACCATAATCCCGCCTGATAGCGAAGTATAATCTCAGCACTAGTCGCCTACTTAAGCCCAATATTTGTCCCAGAATAGTCCCGTCATAATCCTAGTCGAGTCGCCATAGTCAGCCGAAGAGTTGGTCCATTAGAATGCCAAGACGTATGTCTATACGTGGCCCATGTGACGAGCTCATGACGGTACCTCCCAAAGGAAAAGGCATGCGTACAGCGACCGCAGCCTCTGTGGAACCAGCCAGTAGGGAAGAAATGTCCTGAGTAGCACGTTTGAAGCCTTGGTCAGCTAGAGCGTTGCTTAAGCGAGAGTCAGAGCGTTGCGACCAGAGAAGGCAAGCGGTCAACCCGGCATGTTTTGAAAGGCAACGGCATGTCTACAAGCAGGGTCCAGGAGGTTTAGTCAGCGAGAGCGTTGCCCAAGCGCGTGTCCGAGCGGTGCGCCGATCGAACAGAGAAGGCCAGCGGTCAACCCGGCATGTTTTGAAGCCAGAGCGTGGCTCAGGCGAGAGTTAGGGTGTTGCTCCGATTTACCAGAGGAGGTCAACTGTCAACCCGGCTTGTTTGGAAGGGGCATGCATCGAGAAGCAACGTAGACGATCCGGTGTGGTAGGGTTTCACAACGGCATGGCAAGTTCCGAGAACGGCATGTTGAAAGGCAGGGGGTGGGAGCTTTGGTCAGCTGGAGCGTTGCTCAAGCGAGTGTCAGAGCGTTGCTCAGACCGACCAAGGTGAACGGGCAACCCGGCTTGGTTGGATCGGCATGTTTCGTTGATATGTATTGCCTAGCCAGCACGGGAAGAAGCCTGTGTCCGGAGTAGCTAGTTTGAAGCCTTGATCAGCTAGAGCGTGGCTCAGGCGAGAGTCAAAGTTGCTCGAGCGCGCGTCCGAGCGTTGCTCAGACCGACCAAGGCAAGAGCAGTACGACGGCAAATGGACAACAGGGCTACAGCAGTGCAAAGCAGCGTGGCCGGCCGAAAGCGCGGCAACGGCCAGCCGTCAACCCGGCCTGTTTTGTGGGGCAGGTTCGGGGGGCTCGAGTGCGCGAGCTGGCTTGGTTTACGTCGCACATCGATCGTGAACCACCGTTTAGCAACAAAACCTCAGTGAAACAAAGCCAACAAATGTCACTGACGTAGCTGGACAGATGGTCTGTGACCTAGATGGACAGTAAGTTGACACCGTGAACCTTGCCAGAATCTAGCCTGTAGCAAATGGAGCCGGGTCACGACCAGGGGGACAACCACGCAACATGACGACCCGCCTGCAGGTCAGCCCAGTGTGCAAAGCAAAGTAGTTGACGCATGACAAGGTAGCCGACAACGCAAGAGCAAAAAAACGCGCAGCGACAAGAACCGTCAGTAGGTACATGTACAGCATCGAGTAGACGAAAGTCGCAAGCAACCCGAAACGCGTAGATAGAGTTGACTAGCACATAGAACCTCTCGTATGTAATCAAAACCACCTTTGGTATCAGAGGCTGCAAGCAACACTGCACCGTAGAAACATTAGAAGCAACATATTAGATAAGGGCGCACCCCCAGCCGGACGCGGCGTCGGTTGCCCGTGCCTGCCATGTCGTGCCGATGGCTTTTTGTCAGGACTCTCTGCCATGTACTGCTCTGGCTAGGATTGTGCCACTGCATGCACGATGGCATGCTGCCGTTCTGTGAGACACTACTGTATGCAATTCTTAGTCACATGCTGTGCACCGTGTGGCCGACGGTGGTGGACGCTGCAGCCACACGAATTGCCAGGGTGCTTACCAAGAGGGCAGGCGGTACCAACCATGCCGTGGCAGACGGCGGCAACGTCGCAGGAAGAAGGCATGGACTCGGTTGTGGCATTGGAACCGGAAGCTCCGCAATCGACTCGCCCATGCGCTGCATGGTAACGGACCTGGGCCAACCGATGCAAGTAGCAACAGTGTAGCTGCATCCGGCAGCAACAATGCAACGGAACAGCCTGAAGCAAGCTATACTGTAGAAGCACGTGCCCAAAGGTTGCGAAGAGTGCCGGTGGACATCCCCGGCGATGGGTGGTGTCTCCTTCATGCCGTGAGCTGGTACTTGGAACGGCACAAAAGCCACGAGCCAGAGTGGAGCGTGCGGAAAGCGGCGGACACATACGTGCAGGCATTGGAATTTCTAGTCCAGCAATTCGACGGCCCCAGTGCCGCGGACATTAACATTGCTTGCATGCCCGACCAGCCCGCCGAGCTGGAACTGCATCGCCGATTCTTGGAACGCCGGGGCATCCTCTTGCCGGATGAGCTTCCGCAAGGGTTGCTCGTGCTTTGGAGCAAGCTGACGGCAGTGTTGGAAATGCCGAACATGCTGGATAGCATCCATCATGGCACCAGCGTGGAGGTGTGGGCACTGACAAAGGCATTTGGCTTTGAAGTGCTTGTCTGGAGTACAGACGTGGATGCCAACTACTGGATTGCAACGATGGAGCGAGTCACTGACGCGGAAGCGCTGCGGCTGGCTGAGCTGCACCCGCATGCCTTGCACCTGGTGCACCAACCCATGGGCCACACCGGACACTATAGCTTGCTGTGGGAAGATAGGCCACTCGCTTCGGTGTGGCAACCAACACCATGGTTGCAGATATGGCACAGGGAGGGGGCACGAGCCTTGCAACAGCATTTGGGTATGATCCGCGTGCAACCTTCGCGGATCGAGCCGGCAGAGCAACCCAACCAGCCGAATGCGTCGCCTGCCCCCGCAGAAGCGGCGGCCGAGCCGAGCAATCCGACGGCATCCGACCATTTGCAAGACCCGTGGCCCGCACCGGCCACGCCACCTTGCAGCAGCGGGTCCGACGTGGGCTTTTCTGACACGGAAAGTGTCGTGTCGTGGAATTCACACCAATCAAGTGAAGGCTCTAGTGCCGCACCCAGCCTTGCGCTGGAACCAGAGCGTGCATGGTGCACGCTGGAAGATCAACACTTGGAACAAATTCAGACCATCAGCCGACAGTTTCGTACCAAACCGTTGCTGCCACCATCCGTGCCACACGTTCCGGAAGAGTTAGCCGACAGCATGTCCGGCGTCCCGTATCCAGCCTGCCACTGTGCCTTTGAAGGTTGTACGTGGTGCAGCGACGCACAGCCGTGCGTGGACGCATTGCTCTTGAAAGATCGATGGATTGTGCAGGGGGTCACTTGGCACTGCAGCAGCGGCGCCTGCTGCAACAACACCGCTGCCTGTCTGTGGGCACACTTGCACAGCCAGCATGCACTCGCCTTTCAGCACTGCCCCGGAGATCTTGTGAGTTCTTACATCGCAGCCTTGAAAGGTGTCGAAGAGCAATCGGTCCCGGCCGTTGGTTGGAGTGTGGATCGTCGCACTTTGCGACGCTTGCATGCTGAAAGACAAGAAGAGCAAGCCGTTGCCCTCATCTGTGCTTGCTGTGCTGCCGTCCTGCCCAGCGGACCTCGAAGCGAGATTGGATACTTGAGTGTGCAAGACATCTTCGAGGCCTTGACGCCGGAAAGCTTCCAACAGAATTGGGATTTGATGCAATATCGCACTTCCTATGGCTCCCATGCAGCCGTCCGAAGGCAACTCCACGGAGCTGAATGGCAGCGGACCTTGCCGCAGACATTGTTTCAAGGGCAGTCCATCCTGTGCTGCCCGGAAGATCTCCGGTGCAGCGCATGCCCTGCCGCTGGCATGCAGCTGTGCCGCCAGTGCGAGCTGCCATTGTGCCGATCATGTTGGAGCCGAATGCGGCAAGGCGCATTTAGTGGCATTCCTTCGGCCCTCAGCAACGACAACTTCTATGGCTATCCGGCCGAGCTCCTCTACCAACATCGGGTGCGATGGATAGAGACAGCGGCTGCTTCGCCACTGCGGACTTCCATGGTGAGCTTTTACCTCGAAGCAGACCGCGGGCACGTCTTAGAGGAGCCTGTGCATCGAGCCGAGCACCGCCTAGCCATCCGCGGCAACATCAGTGCCGTGAGCCTGCCATGGGAAGAGATCTACGGCCACTTTGCACAGATGACACCCCACGATCGCATTGCAACCTTGCCGCATGCGCTCCCTGCCTTGCGCGCAATGGTGAAAGTCACGGTGAAAGGCATGCGGCATGCTGAGCTCGTGGAGTGGGTGGCCGGTGCCCATCTTAGGCCTCATGTGGTTGTTGCCCTCTTAGATCACTTAGTAGACATACACCATCCCATGTTCGCAGCCTATGACGGCACGCCAGCCGAACTAAAGCAGCTGTTCCGATCCAAAGTGCAGCGGGAGTACGGCACAGAAGAAATTTGTCCAGTGACCGTCGAAGAGCAAGCCGACCTAGCTGGTGCAGCACCCACTCCACCTCAGACAAAGAATGCAACCCCAGAACCCGCAAACCTCCCACAGTTTGGCGGGGAAGCCTTCTTGGGCAGCAGCCGACCACAAGTTCTCAGCCCGGATTATACCAGCAGCCAGGCAGGTGACACGACAACCCAAGAAGTGACGCGCCTCGCTCAAGTCACCCCGAAGGTCACCATCCAGACGGGCACAGAATTCTGGGACCAATGGCAAACCGAATACCTTGCCTGGGCTTTCCCCTTCAGTGTCCCATCCCCCGTCGGTGGGCCGGACTTTCCGAATAAGGATCGTCCGCGACGCAAGGCCGACGCAGCGGTGCTAGGGCCAGTCCCACACCTGCGCTCCTTAGCCCGGCGCGTCGAGTCTTCGCTGCGAAACTCTTGGGATTTAATTTCAGGCCTACGTCGGCTGACGTTCAAATGGCATTCGGTCTGCCAAACGCCGCTGTACCGGGCCTGGGCATCCAAAACCAACGCCCTCCAAGCTACACCGGCACACGAATGGGTTGAGGCGGCCAAAGCCTTGTATCACAAACTGCAAAAAGGCAAGTATTTGACAGCCGGCAAGACGTTGAAGCCAATCAACTACGATGCCCGCAAGCTGTGGTTTGCCGAAGGCCTCACCGCGCCCGAAGCCCAGCTGCTGCGCGACATCCGGCACACGCAAATGACCTTGCCTGGGACAGTGGAAGTTCGGCGACGGATTGGCCGTTTTCTCTTTGGAGCACGGGTCGAACTCGGTGAACCCATCTTCATGACCCTATCTCCCACGACGCGGCACAATGCCTTGTGCTTGCGACTCTCGCGGTACCGACAGCACGACCCGGGTGCGGGACCGCTTTCTGGCAAGCAGGTGCCACGCGTCTGGGAAGAAGCCGAGGTGATTGTGCCAGTCCCTGAGTACGAGACGCGCCGGCAAACGTCCGTTCGAGATCCCTGGGCCGTCGACATAGCCTTCCAGTGCATGGTTCGTTTTGTGTTTGCGGAGCTTCTCGGTATCCGCATGTGCTTCCGCTGCCCCAATTGCAGCTGTCGCGATGCCCTCGGACAGTCGACACATCCCATGGGAGGCATTCTTGGCCTGGTGCTTGGATTCTGCGGAGCCATAGAGTATCAAAAAAACAGCAACCCCCATTTTCATGCTAATGTGTACGTCGCCACGGTGTGGCAACAGCCCCTGAAAAAAGTAGCCCAAAAAATACAAGCTAAGGCCATTACCCTGGAGGAACTGTTTCGGTACCAAGCCTGGCTGCACAATGAAAGCCACTTCAACCTCGAACAGCATGAAGCCCTCTTTCCAGCGTTGGAAAAAAAGTGGATGCAAAACTTCCCTGGGACGGAGCATGACAGGTTATGCCTTTGGCCAGCTTTTGTTGCCGCAGACACCACGCCTTCGCCGTGGCTGCCACGGGTTGCCGACGGCGGGCCACTCCGCGTAGAGCGTTGCTCATCGCCGGCCCATGCTGCCGAATCGCAGAACGCAGCTGCCCCGACTGCCGCAGCGAACCCACAGGCCTTGCAGACGGACGCCATTCGATACCGGCAACTCTACCAGACAGCAGTGCAAGTGAAGCTCTCACACCAGCAACACCATATGCACACGTGGGATGCCAAGCACAAGTGCCACGTGCCGCTGCCTGCTTGCCAAAAGAAGGACGCGCCGAACAAATGCAAGCATGGCTTTCCAAAAACCATCTGCGACGTGGCGCGCGTCGTGTGCCGGGGGAATGCTCGCAAATTTCGTCAGAGTACGGCTGGAAGACGAAATGCACTTGGCTGCGTCCTCAATCCACGTGACAACCAATGGCTGTCAGGCACTATGCATGCATTTACCCTGATGTTCATGGGCAACAGCCATACCGGCATCAAATTCCGCATCCCGCTATTGCCGGAAACGCATGACCCGGCATGCGAGCGCAACTGCTTGGAAACTACCACCTTGCAGCGCCTCCAACGGCTGATGCAGCATGCCGCGAAAAAAGCGACGCAATACTTCACAGGATATTTGCAAAAACCCCAGCCATTGGGTCGGAAAGAGCTACAACAAGCCGCCAAGCACCTGTCATATCTCGACATTACCCCCGCGAAGGGCGTGGAAGCCCAGCACTACCGGAAAGTGTTGCATCGAGTCTGCGGTGACTTGGAATTTTGCTGTTCCGTCCGCCCCCTGACGGAAGAAGTCATGTTGGCCAGTTTCTGGGACGGCGACGAACCCACGTCTGCCAAGTGCATTCGCTCCTTTGCCGTCGTTCCCTTTGTCGGCAGTGACTGGTTAGCTCAGTACGATAAGGCAACCGAAGTGCGGCATCGCGTCAAGCCGACCCATCACCGACAGGCCCACTTCAAAAGCAGCGATCTCTATGGCTGGCGGGGTCAAGATCCGCGGGTGCGATATTTGAGCCCTTGGGAATTCACCGCCCTGTGGGAAGTGAAACGGCTGCAGCCACCCTTGCAACACGAAACTGACTTAAGTGAATGGTGCCCTGGATGCGGCGCAGGTCCGGAACCGGCAGACGGATGGCAATTTGGGCGCGATTACAGGTGGAAGCAACACATCCTTGCCGATAACTCCAAACACATCGTCCCCTTGCCGAGCCGTGCCAGCACCGCCGCAGGAGCGGACCACTACTTTGTCCGCCGGGCCGCGCCCTTAGTGCCGTACCCAACAGCGTGCCCACTGCCCAAAGCCGACATGAGCAAAGACCAGCAAGCCCGCCTGCTGAACATCTATCTCCGCCCCTGGACACTGGCCGGTGACGACGCCACGTTGCATGTGCCACATATTCAGGCCTTGGACATGCCCATCACTGATCGCCGAAAGAAACCATCCCATCGCTGCTTCGGAAAAACTTCAGTGGGGTGTCGCAGTCACCACAGTGCATGGAAAGATTACATTCGTCACCACATCGTGTCGGCCAATGCCGCCCGCACCATTTCCAATTTCTTGGCGGCCGCAGAGTGTTCGCCGGACGACGTCGAGGAAGCACACGTCGAGGCAGGCACAAAGCCGGACAGGGAAGTCGACACAAGCTGGGTTGACATGACGACCGTTTGCAACGCCTGACTGCCGGAGAAGGGTTCCAATACTCCAAACGGTCGGCCCAGACCGTCCAGAGTCTTGTGCACGACTGGACAACACCGCAGACAAGCACGAGCAACCAAGGGCCGCGGCAGTTCTCGACCGGCCTGCCAGACCCCGGCCCAGCACCAGCAACCGGGGCAGCTGGCGCAGATCCCTTCGCCCAACAAGCGCAACCGCCACGCCCGGTGGCCACGAACTACGGAACCTTCAGGTTGGACGCGGCCCGGACGTGGTTGCAAGCTTTGAACCCGCCCGGGATGACGCCAGCCCCCAACCCACAACAAAAGCAAGTTCTGACAGCCGTTGTGGAAAGGTGCCACGCCGAAGCTGTCGAGGAAAGGGCTGACAAGCAGAATCGATCAGAACCATTTCGAGCAATCTTGCATGGGGTGCCGGGCGCAGGGAAATCCCAAACCTTGCACTGGCTTCGCACGTTTTTCGAAACGGTGTGTGATTGGCAGCACTTGCACGAGTTTGCCTTCGTAGCCCCGCAGAACACGCAAGCGGCCCTGATAGATGGAATCACCATTCACTCCTTCGCGGATATCAGAGTGCAAGGCCAGAAGCAGAAAAAGGAGACGGCTTTTGGACCAGATCACTTCGTCAAGTACCAACATCTACGCTGGCTTATCATCGACGAATGCAGCACCTCAGCCTTGGAAGTACTGGCCGTGCTAGAAAAACGCTTGCAAGAAGCGGTCCGTGCCAGGCATTCGTGGAAATGCCGCACCACCGGCACGCCCCGGCCCTTTGCCGGCATCAACATTCTGCTGGCCGGCGACTGCTGGCAATTCCCTGCCGTGAAAGCCACGTCCATCTTCCATAACCCCTTCAAGCACGGACAAAGTGTTCAAGTAGTGAACCTGCAGAAAGTCCTCTGGACGCATGACAGAGCAAATATTCAACACCTGTTCGAACTCACCCAAGAGCATCGTTGTGTCGATCCGTGGTTAAGTGCAATTCTCCATGCCGCCCGACATGGAGCTGTAACTCAAGAACACTGGGCGTTTCTGCACGGCTTCCCGACCTTGCATGCCGGCTCGTGGAACCCCCACACAAACAAGTGCTCTTGCAAAAAGCCGGCCTGCGATGCCTTGGCCAAGCAGTGGACCAAGGAAGTGTTGGATCCGAAAAATACACGAACCTGGCAGGATCGGCGCCAAGCAGAATGCGACGTCTGCGCGGCCGAACGCCGGCGGCGCTGCATCGTTGCCGGAGCATCCGACTTTGGGCCCAATCCAAAAGACAGGAAATTTTTGCAGGCACCGTTTGTGCATGGACTGAATGCTGCCAAGTACGTCGCCGCACTGCTGCGGGCCCGGTGGGTGGCGGCCGAGCAACAGCATCTCTTGCTCTGGGTCGTGGCGCAGGACACGCCGCTCTTCCACACAGACCCTGACACGGAGGCCCAAGAGCTGCAGCACCGAAAAGAACAATGGCTTCAGCGACATGACCAGGCGACAGCAGGGATAATGGGCCTCTTGCCACTCTTGCCAGGCATGCCCGTGCGCATCACCCAGACCTTGCCCGAACTGAAGCCCTGGGGCTTGTTCAAGAACACCCGCGGATCCCTGCACGGGTGGAGCCTCGCCGAGGAAGACATTGCGGCAATCCCGGCCTGCCAGCAGCCGGAGCTGGTGCTCCAAAAAATGCCGGCATGCCTCTTTGTCGCCATCCCCGGTGCCACCTGGCAGCACCGCCCAGGTCTCCCACCGGGGGTCGCTTGCATTCGCCCGGTCGTGCAACATTGGAAACTCGAAGCCCACGGCACCGCCACGGTCGCCAGACGAGGTTTTCCGCTGGCCTGCATAACACGGCGCATTCGTTTATGGGGGCCACATTAGCTGCCTGCAGTTTGGACTTAGGATTTTGGGACACGGCGGCGAACCGGGACTCCCAGCTCAGTGCCTACATGTGCCTGTCCCGAGTTAAAAAAGCAGAAGACCTCTGCATAGCCCGTCCCTTTTCCCCTAATCTTCTAAGCCAAGGTGAACTAATAGGCCCCGATACGTTCCTCGCAGTGCATCGGCAAGCCCTGACCCTGGCGGATGCCAAAAGCAAGTTTGAGCAGGAGCAGGTGCAACGGAAGCGCAATCCGGAGACCCTTTTCTTTTGTCGCGGATGCACCCCGAAAGCCAAAGGCGAGCACGGCCTCCTGCCGTTGCGTGACTTCACCAGTAACAATTTGTGGCAGCCGGATGCTTGGTTGGAGATCGTGTGTCTTGGCATGGAACGCTTGTGCAGTCAGTGTCGCCACCCACAGGTGTCCGGGAACCCCACCGGCGCCGAAGCCGACGCCCCCAGCAAGTGCGCGTTCTGCAACAAAACCCAACTGCCGAAACTCGGCTTTTGCAAGCAATGCCTGTCCGAAGCAAGATTGGCTTGCGCCCACTGTGATGTAGGTCGAAAACTCAAACCCAAGACCTTGGCGGACTTCAGCCCCGCGGAAATTCAACGCCGCAGAGCCACGAAGGAGTTACGAAAAGCCCGCTGCAAAAAGTGTGAACTGCACCAACCCAACAAAGGCAAAGCGAAGGCCGGGCAGTGCCGCACGTGTCGGAACGTTGTCAGCGTGTCCCACTTGCACCAGTATGACTCCAAGGCCAACGACGGCATTTGTCGCAAGTGTTGGCGGAAAGCCACCAACTTGGAGGCAGCGACCGCCAAGGTCTGCCCACAGTGCAGCACACCTTTGAAACCAGCGGCGACACCAGGCTCGTGGTGCCAGAGCTGCGCCTATCCACCGTGTGCAGTTTGCCAAAAAGTAGATCGGCCACACAAAGGCCCGTACCACGCCAAGCACAAACCAATTTGGGTGTGCCCAGCACAGTGCCACAAACGCTTGAAAGCAGGTTCGCAGCCAGGCACGTGGTGTCAAAGCTGTGCCTATCCACCGTGTGCAGGTTGCCAACAAGTAGCTAGGCCCGGCGGAAACCACGCGTACCATGCCAAGCATCGCCCCTTTTGGCGATGCGACAAGTGCGCCCAAGCAAGCTGTCCGATGTGCCAAGCCAATCCCTTGGGTCAAGACGCTGGCGGCGGACCAGACGCCGCGTGTCCTCAGTGTGCAGAACATGGTCCCAAGTGCGCAGTATGCAAACAGCCAATGGTCGGCCGCCCGCATTCACACGGCTGGTGCCACGGGTGTGCCTTTCCGCCATGTGCAGCCGGCTGTGGTCGACCGCGCCCGCGCCCAAGCGGGATCGGTGCGCAGTATGCCGAATACCATGCCAAACACATGCCGCAGTGGACCTGCCAGCCGTGCCAGCTATCACAGAACGAACCGGCCAAACGCCGTAGGCTCCAACCAGCTCAGCCAGCAGACGCCTTGCCACCGCTGCCGCCACCGGCGGAACCGCCTGATGACAGTGCCAGTCCGGCGGCTCCCTTTGGCCAACCCAAGCGAAGAAAAGCGGAAAGCAAGGCCACCAGCACGGCGCCGTGTGCCACGCCAGCGCAGACCACACCCGCGCTTCGGCCAGCTGACGCGGGCGCCGTGCCGCAGCCACCCGATGACAGCTCAGTTTCCCGGCCTGCAGTTTTGTTGTGTCAACCACGGAAAAGGAAACGAGGCGTCGCCAGCGCCAACCTGGAGAGCTCCTTGCCGGCACCTGTCCCAGAGACCGTGCTGCCCGACACCTAATCCGAAAGCATTCGCATACCGGTCATATCCCAAATAGCCATGCGTTTTGTTGGGTGCTTCCAAGATAGTTCAGACAACCGGCTGCAACCAGGGCGTTGCCCAGGGGGTGCTCGAGCGTTGCTCACGCCGCGGCCTTGCGACCATTTTTTCAGCCACTTGTTGCGGAATGCTTGGCTTTAGGACGCCACTGTGTTGCATTCTCAACTTGCAATATATTTGGGCCAACATTTCCTGGCCATGTGCAGAATCCACTACCACCCCCAGCCAGTTAATAATCTTCCCCGACATAGTCCCACGAAGAACTGGCAAAGAGGAACCATTTTTGCTGCCACCTTTTACAGAATCCACGACAATCCCAAGCCAGTTCAGAACATTCCCTTGCATAGTCCCGCAAAACCCCAAGGCAGCGATGAACCATTGGTTCACCCACCGGTTGCTGCCTCCACTACCATCCTAGAAGCTAGTACTGCCCACAACAGGCAATCCTAATAATCTTCCGTCCCATAGTTCCATTCAACCACAAGGCAGACAGGGCCAAGAGCAACCATGTTTTCAGCCACACGTTGCAGAATCAACTACCAAGGACACGCCACGAAGTTACGCACAACACACATAAGGAACCACTGTACCCAGAGCATGCCCGTAGCTATTAAACCACTACATAAGCTTCCGTCCCATAGTTCCAGTCAACCACAAGGCACACACCACCGAGAGGAACCATGTTTGCAGCCACACGTTGCAGAATCAACTACCAAGAACACGCCACGAAGCCCGTGCTGCCAACACCATGCATTTGGACCGCCGCGGATGAGTCAAGTTACGCACAACACACATAAGGAACCACTGTACCCAGAGCATGCCCTTAGCTATTAAACCACGACATAATCTTCCCTCCCATAGTTCCATTCAACCATAAGGCAGAAAGGACCGAGAGGAACCATGTTTGCAGCCACACGTTGCAGAATCAACTACCAAGAACACGCCACGAAGCTAGTGCTGCCAACACCATGCATTTGGACCACCGCGGATGAGTCAAGTTACGCACAACACACATAAGGAACCACTGTACCCAGAGCATGCCCTTAGCTATTAAACCACGACATAATCTTCCGTCCCATAGTTCCATTCAACCACAAGGCAGAAAGGACCGAGAGGAACCATGTTTGCAGCCACACGTTGCAGAATCAACTACCAAGAACACGCCACGAAGCCAGTGCTGCCAACACCATGCATTTGGACCGCCGCGGATGAGTCAAGTTCCGCACAACACACATAAGGAACCACTGTACCCAGAGCATGCCCTTAGCTATTAAACCACGACATAAGCTTCCGTCCCATAGTTCCATTCAACTACAAGGCAGAAAGGGCCAAAAGCAACCATGTTTTCAGCCACACGTTGCAGAAGCAACTACCAAGGACACGCCACGAAGCCAGTGCTGCCGATACCATGCATTTGGACCGCCACGGAGGAGTCAAGCCCCGCACGACCCACCGCACGTACCAGTAACGAAGCTTCCCTCCCATAGTCCAATTCATCCACGAACCGAACCATTTTTTCAGGGCAAACAGGACCGTATCATATCGTAAGACATGCCCTTTTGCCAGTGTTTGATCTTCATTTGAACCAACCGAGCTAAACGCAATGCGACGAGCTGCAACCAGGGCGTAGCCCAGGAACACGACATTGCCGGCAGACGTCCTAGAGACCATGACCCGACACCTATAATCTCTGCAGCATTCGCACACCGGTCATTTCCCAAATAGCCATGCGTTTTGTTGGGTGCCTCAACGAGAATTCAGACAACCGGCTGCAACCAGGGCGTTGCCCAGGGCAGTGCTAGAGCGTTGCTCACGCCGCGGTTTGGTTGTGTCGCACGTTCAGATCTCGAACAGTGCGCCTGGCCTGTGTAAACTGCATTGAAAGCAAGTAAAGGTCTTGACCCATCAGCATATCAACCTACCTAGCTAAGAACAAGGACTCGGCTGTCCCGTCCTGCAGTGGGGTTTCGACACCCAGACTCCAAGCGTCAAAGACACGCGATTCAGGAAAAAAAAGGGCAGGCATGTCGGTAGCGAGGGGGTGGTTTTCACAGCCGTCACGGTAGGGCAAAATCACTTGAAGTTCCGCAGTCTGTTAAGCAGGACCGGGAAAGTAATTTACTCTCATTTGCTGCATTTTACTCTCATGGACGTAACTCAACTATGAAATGACAATTGTTAGTGAGGCATGCAAGGTTAGCCAGAATTAGTAGTTGGATACGGCGCTCCCGCCAGGTCACGCCACAGCCGGTGGAGGACAACGTGTTCGGACCCAACCTCAACCAGGTGAAGCGGCAGCCGGTTCCGTCGCCTGTCGCCAGTCCCTGCCGCCGCCGCTTTGACGCCAGGCGCTGGCGCAAGACGACCTCGTGGGACGCTGGATGCAGGCCACGGGTCCGGCTGGGGCATAACCACTTTCAGGGTCAGCGAAACAACAACCCGAAGAAAGAGCGTCTGGACAAGGTCACCTTTGATTTCGTCGTTGGTTGATTTTTTTTTTCGCAGGGAGCCCCACGGCTAGGACCGTCAATGTTTCCTGGCACCGCACCGGACACCCGCCTGCAGGATTTCCTGGCGTGCAAACCCTGCAGAGGCCGAGGCCAACGGCTGGGTAGAAACAGTCGGGGGGCAATACCGGACAGAATAGGCACCAAGACAAATATGTCTTGTCTGCATCGGCTCAGGCGACCAAAAGGCTGGGCAGGTGGATAGCAGGTGCACATTGGACATATGTAGAACCCCAGACCGCGGCGTGGGCTGCCAAGGCGCCGAAGACGGCCGATGCCAGACGCAAGTGCAACCAACTATTTTCGTTGGACGGCGAGAAAGGCGACAGGCCAGGCAAGGAATAGCTAGGAGCAAGCGCCCGGAGCCTGCAACCAATGGTTGCAGCGACACAGAAGTTGTCGTTCTTGTTGATGTGGTTGTTGCTGTTGTTGTTGTTGTTGTTGTCGTTGTTGTTGTTGTTGTTGTTGTCGTCGTTGGTTGTTGAGATTGCTGGGGCGCGGGTGTGTGGTGTGACGGTTGGGGTTGGTCGGACGGGGTTTGTGCGTGAAGGTTTGGGGTTAGTGGGTTGGAGTTGGTCAATGATGCTTTGCGCGTTTGGGTTTGGGGTTGGTGGGTTGGAGTTGGTCGGTCGTGGTTTGTGCTTCAGGGTTTGGGGTTGGTGGGTTGGCGTTGGTCAGTGGTGGTTTGTGCGTCAGGGTTTGGGGTTCGTGGGTTGGAGTGGGTCGGTCGTGGTTTGTGCTTCAGGGTTTGGGGTTGGTGGGTTGGCGTTGGTCGGTCGTGGTTTGTGTATGAGAGTTTGGGGTTGGTGGGTTGGGGTTGGTCAGTGGTGGTTTGTGCTCTTGGGTTTGGGGTTGGTGGGTTGAGGTTGGTCGGTCGGAGTTTGTGCTTGCAGGTATGGAATGGGTGGGTTGGGGTAGGACAGTGGTGGTTTGTGCGTTGAGGTTGGTGGGTTGGGGTTGGTCGGGTTGGAGTTGGTCGGTCGTCGTTTGTGCAGTCAGGTTTGGCGCTAACGTAGCCGCTCTTCGGTTTGGCGCTAACGTAGCGCGCTTCGGTTTGGCGCTAACGTAGCCGCTCTTCGGGGCCATATGACCCGATCCGAAGGCTATGTTGGCCCGGCTTTGCGGTGAGGGGTCGGCGGGTCGGCGTTCGCGATTGGTGGGTCGGTAGCTCAGGTGGCGAGTTTGGGGTGTGGGGTTTGGGTCATCGGATGGTGCGTGTGGGTTTGGGGTTGGTGAGTTGGGGTTGGCTATGTTGGCCCGGCGTTGCGGTTAGGGGTTGGTGGCTCGGCGTTCGTGATCGGTGGGTCGGTGGCTCAGGCGGCGGGTTTGGGGTTTGGGGTTTGGGTCATCGGTTTGTGCTCGTGGGTCTGGGGGTTGGTGCGTTGGGATTGATCAATGTTGGTTTGTGCCTGTGGGTTTGGGGTTGGTAGGTTGGGTCATCTTGGGGCTATGTTGGCCCATCTTGGAGCTATGTTGGCCCATCTTGGGGCTATGTTGGCCCATCTTGGGGGCTATGTTGCCCCAGCTTGAGGTTATGTCGGCCCATGTTGGGGCTATGTTGGCCCATCTTGGGGCCATGTTGGCCCATCTTGGAGCTATGATGGCCCATCTTGGGGCTAGCTTGACCCATCTTGGGCGCTATGTTGGCCCATCTTGGGGCTATGTTGGCCCATCTTGCGGCCTATGTTGGCCCATGGTTGGCCCATGTTGACCAATCTTAAACCACAAGATCCGAAAAATGGGAAAACATGCGAAGAGCACAAAACACCGTAAAACAGGACGTTTTTTGGCCGTACCGGGTGGTCGGCGGCTGGGGCGGCGGCCCCTCTCTCCTACGGAGAGGAGAGAACTGCCGTATGTTATCTTTGATTGCCCTTTATGTCAGGGAAAATTACAGTTGAGGAACGAAATTGAAATCAACCCCAAAGGCATAACCTGTCGTTGTAATCCGTGTAGTTTCAAACTGACTAAAAATGATAAGACTATGAATGTCAGTAAGGATGATGAAGGGGGGATTACATTGGATAGTCAAGACCACAGCATCTCGTTTGCTTTCAATCGAATTACTACTCCTCCAACAGAAGATGAAAGATATAGAAATGATATGATAAAAGATGTTATGAATACACCACGGAACAGCAAAAAACAGATGATGTCTGAAATGGATTGAAACGAAACCATTTAAAGAGTAGTTGTTCTATCAACTCCAACTCATAAATAAATAATTAAAATAAATTAATTTCTAAATAGATAAATAAATAAATAGTAATGTCAAGTGGAGATGAGAGCAAGACTGAAATGAAAGAGTTGATGGATAAATTCAACAAATACGCTAAACAGGTGAAACTGGTTCTGGCAAAACTTGAAGAAATTGACAAGAAAATAGGACAAAACTATTACTATTTAGATGATGATAAGAGGGGTTATTTACGCCACAAATTGTGAAAGGTGTAAGGCTTGTTCATGCTGATGTGTTGTTGCTTCCAGTGCTTGCCATCACTGTCGTTAAGGCTCAACAATATCAAACTGCACTGCGCTGATGCTTCAAGTAAGATCATGATTCAAAGTCAGGAGGAGTAAGAGCTGTGGCAGGAATACGAGCTGTTGCTTTTCAAGACTTTTGTTGTAGCAATGGTTGCCTTGCGCAATGCTCGTGTTCGGCGCTATGTCCTTCTTTGCCATTTCTTCTGCTTTTGGCATTTCGCAGCGCGAACCTTACAGTTCTCTGCCCTGCCGCCGAATACAAAGCTGTTGAAGGACGTGGAGCACAATGAGATGCCAAACTGGATTCGTGAGCAAATGTGTGATTTGGGGTATGATAAAGGCGTCTCAGACAACATGGCCAAGGCGCTCTCATTTTACAGCCCTTCGGCCTTGGTGGAGGCTTCTCGAGAGAGTTTGCTGGATGCGCTGCAACAGACATTCCCAGATGATGCACAGCGGAAGATCATGGCCCAAAGCCTTTATGACCGCATTCAGAAGGGCATTTCCCAACCACAACCCGTTTCTCGGCAAAGATTGGTTTCAGTTGTTGCCCGAGTTCGTTGTGTTTTGTTTCTCGTTGATGTGAGACAGCGTTTATGTTTCTGTGGCTGCTTTGCTTGGTTTCAGGTTCAGAGCGATGTTCCCGAGAATGTCAAGGCCTTCGCACGAGCTTTGGATGATGCAGAGCTGGAAGGGCAAATTCTCAGAACGGAAAAGGGCAGTTTCAAGTTGCAAAACGTTTCTGAAATTTGGGACGAGAAGCAGTTCTACGTGCGGGACTGCTACACAGAAATTGCCGACATCATGTTGAAGAAAAAGCCCCCCGTGATGTCGCTGCTGGGCTCGTCTGGGATCGGCAAGTCCAATTTTCTGGTATATTTAATCTGGCGTCGCTTCCAAGACAGTGAGCTTAAAGACTTCCCAGTTTTTCTGCACCAGGGGGACATCATCCATCGGTTTCAGAAGGGCGAAGAGCCAAAGAAGGTCGATGCCGATACTTTGTATTCAGCCTCTGCACAAGCTTTGTATATCATGGATGCCGACATTGATGTGGCACATACGGTCTTTTGCCAGTCTTTGTGGATTACCTCTGCGCGGAGGCCGGAGACAGCGGCTTTCAACACCGAGCATTTCAAGAAAGCCGAGCGCTTTTCTGGGCAGTTCTTTATGCCACCATGGACGTTGACGGAGATGCTGAGTGCAGAGGTCATGGCCTTACACAAGCTGAATGAGGAGGTTGTCTAGGAACGCTTCGGCATCTTTGGTGGCACTGCGAGGCTTGTTTTGGAGAGGGACGAGACAAGGGCAGAGAATGACAAGGAGAGGCTCGTTGAGGCCGTGCAGTCAGCAGATGCGCTGCAATCCCTGAAAGTATCGTCTGACATGAAAGCCATAAGCAAGACGACGCATTTGCTGGTGAAGATGCACCCAAAGCGGGAGTTCAGCTGGTTTGATGTGCAGTTGTCGTCTCCCTATGTTCGGCAAGAGCTGGTGAAGCAAAACAGAGCAAAACGAGCCCAAGCTCTTTGGGATCGTATTGATGATGGGATGATTACGGGCATCGGTTTTGCATTGTTTGAGGAAGAGTTCCACCAGTTCATGCAGGACAAGTCCATCGGCAAGTTCAAGCTCCGAGCCAGATGCTTGACAGCTGAGGGGAAGGGGTCTGATACAACACAGGAACTCCAAGGTGGTCTTGAAGGAGTGATGATTTCGGGCAATCCCGCAGCAGACATCAAGGATGGCGAATACTACCAGCCGCAGAGCAAAAACTTTCCTGCCTTTGACTCATGGACCTCACAGGGCGTTTTTCAGCTGACGATTGCCGATACACATGACATCACCTTCAATGACAGTGGCAAGGCAATGGACGTGACGAAGACGCAGGCGTCTAAGATTGTGGATGCACTTTGCAAGAAGCATGACAGCAAAGCCAAATTCTTCTTTGTCGTTCCGCAGTTTCAGTTTGATAAGTGGAAGACTGTGCAGACAGTGAAACAGCCAGAGATGGCTGAGAAGATTGAGCAATGGGTCGTGTGCTTTGAACAGAACCTTCCGAAGTGAAGTGGAGCAGCGCGCTCGTGACCAAAATGAGGAAAGTCCGACATCCCCCAGTTCGGGGTTATGGGTTTTTGGGTTTTTTCTATTAGGGTCTTACCCCACACCTCATTAGGATATTGGTTGTAGAATGGACAAGGTTATGGGGTTGGGAGGTTCTTATGTTTTTTTTGAAATATTGTTTTCTATGAGGGAGACCTTGCCCCCTAATTCTATGATGGTTTGTTGTTTGTATTTTGATTGGTTCATTGAATATTTTTTGGCATGGATTATTCAACAATCTTATTGGTTGGTTTGTTGAATAATTTTTGTGATGGGGTGTTGTTTTGGTTTTGATGATTGCTTGATGCTATGGTTTTGTTATTGTCTCGGTTGATTGATTACTCATTGGATTTTGGTTATGTCTTGGTTGTTCTGATTTATTTGTGTTGTTTGGTTGATTGATTTCTTATTGGTTTATGGGTATGCTTTGGTTGTTATGATTTGTTTGTGTGATGTTATGGGGGTTGGTTGCTTTGAAATGTTGTCTGTATGTTTGCGGTTGTGGAGGATGGGAAGATGGGCAAGGGCCATTCTAACTTATATGTCTCGACGCCCCCGGACTTAAAGATATAACACAGTCTCTTTTTTGTTACCCGTAGTGTTCAGCTCAAACTGATAGTGGATGTCGTGCAGCAGCTGCCACACTTTTCTTGGTGAACCGTGTGCTTGCTGCCGCACATATCGAAGGATCGGCTGGATCCTCCAGACTTGCAGTCTGGCGCCCGTGCAGGAGGCGGAAGCGCTCAGGGCTTTGCGTGAGTGCTGCTGCCTGCTCACGGACCTGTACGAGCTGGCGGGACGAGAGGCTCCTGCACAGCCTCTTGAATCGAGGGCAGGCCCCTTGGAAGAGGAGACCGGGCCAGAGGTGAAGATCGAAGAGAGTAGAGAGACCGCCCAAAGCAGCGAGGCTGCGAGAGCAAGGTCTGAGGATCCAGTTGAAGAAAAGAAGAAGAAGAAGAAAGATAAGAAGAGGAGCCGCAAGAAGGAGAAGTCAGCAAGTGAGGACCCTGGCACGGGAGAAAGGTCTCCTGAAAACAAAGTAAGGAGGAAAAGGAGGAAGTCTAGAGACGACGCGGAAGGAGAAGGTCCAGACGCAGAGCACGAAGGAGGAAGGACAGAGGTCAAAGAGGAGGACGCCAACCCGGGGGATACCCCTGCAAGAGGTGTCACCGAGGAGGAAGACTTGCAAGAGAGGATCGACAACTTCGTCGCCAACAACCCCAGGTCATACGAGCTTGGGACAGCATTTAGTGGCATACCGGCTGCCCTCTGCAACGACAACTTCTACGGTTATCCGGCCGAGCTCCTCTACCAGCATCGGGTGCGATGGATAGAGACAGCGGCTGCTTCGCCACTGTGGACTTCCATGGTGAGCTTTTACCTTGAAGCAGACCGCGGGCACGTCTTAGAGGAGCCGGTGCATCGAGCCGAGCACCGCCTGGCCATCCGCGGCAACATCAGCGCCGTGAGCTTGCCGTGGGAAGAGATCTACGGCCACTTCGCACAGATGACACCCCACGATCGCATTGCAACCTTGCCGCATGCGCTGCCTGCCTTGCGCGCAATGGTGAAAGTGACGGTGAAGGGCATGCGGCATGCTGAGCTCGTGGAGTGGGTAGCCGGCGCCCACCTTAGGCCTCATGTGGTTGTTGCCCTCTTAGATCACTTAGTGGATATACACCATCCCATGTTCGCAGCCTATGACGGCACGCCAGCCGAACTGAAGCAGCTGTTCCGATCCAAAGTGCAGCGGGAGTATGGCACAGAAGAAATTTGTCCAGTCACCGTCGAAGAGCAAGCCGACCTAGCTGGTGCAGCACCCACTCCAGCTCAGACAAAGAATGCAACCCCAGAACCCGCAAACCTCCCACAGTTTGGCGGGGAAGCCTTCTTGGGCAGCAGCCGACCTCAAGTTCTCAGCCCGGATTATACCAGCAGCCAGGCAGGTGACACGACGACCCAAGAAGTGACGCGCCTTGCTCAGGTCACGCCCAAGGTCACCATCCAGACGGGCACAGAGTTTTGGGACCAGTGGCAGACCGAGTACCTTGCCTGGGCCTTCCCGTTCAGCGTGCCATCCCCCACCTTTGAAACCAGCGGCGACGCCAGGCTCGTGGTGTCAGAGCTGCGCCTATCCACCGTGTGCAAGTTGCCAAAAAGTGGCACGGCCAAACAAAGGCCCGTACCACGCCAAACACAAACCGGTCTGGGTGTGCCCAGCTTGTACAGGATGTCCACAGTGCCACAAACGTTTGCAACCAGGCACGTGGTGTCAAAGCTGTGCCTATCCGCCGTGTGCAGGTTGCCAACAAGTAGCTAGGCCCGGCGGAGACCACGCGTACCATGCCAAGCATCGCCCCTTTTGGCGATGCGACAAGTGCGCCCAAGCAAGCTGTCCGATGTGCCAAGCCAATCCCTTGGGTCAAGAAGCCGGCGGCGGACCCGACGCCGCGTGCCCACAGTGTGCGGAACGGGGTCCCAAGTGCGCCAAATGCAAACAGCCAATGGTCGGCCGCCCGCATTCACACGGCTGGTGCCACGGGTGCGCCTTTCCGCCATGTGCAGCTGGCTGTGGTCGACCGCGCCCAAGAAATACCGATGCAGAGCTTGCCAAATACCATGCGAAACGCATGCCGCAGTGGACCTGCCAGCCGTGCCAGCTCTCACAGAACGAACCGGCCAAACGCCGTAAGATCCAAGTGGACGACCAAGCAGACGCCTTGCCACCGCTGCCGCCGCCGGCGGAGCCACCGGAACAGAACGCCAGCCCGGCAGCGTCCTTTGGCCAACCCAAAAAAAGAAAACCACTTAGCACGCCCACCCCCGCGGAGCGTTACTCAGCGCCTGCAGAGGCAGACCGTCCATGCTCACCTGCAGCAGTTTCTTTTGGCCAACCGAAAAAAAGACGTTCGTCCAGCGCCTGCCCGGGTTTTTCCTTGCCGGCAGAAGTCCCGGAAGCCATGCACCTCGAAGAGTCCCAGCCATTTTAATTGAGCCACCGGAGAAACGGACACGGAGTTCATTCAGCACCAGCCACGCAATGTCCTAGCCAGCGTGCACCTATGACAGGAGCCCAACTTAGCGGTTTGGTTTTGTCGCACCTGGACCTGGCCTGTGTAGAACTGCATTCAGAGCAAGTAAAGGTCTTGACCCATCAGCATATCATATCGTAGGACATTCCTTTTTGCCAGTGTAATCCGACAGCATTCGCAGACCTGTCAGATCCCAAATAGCCATGCGGTTTATTCGGTGCTTCAAAGCTCGTTCGGACAACCGGCTGCAACCAGGGCGTTGCCCAGGGGAGTGCTAGAGCGTTGCTCACGCCGCGGTTTGGTTTTGTCAATCCTGTGCCAACGTGGGACGCACCTTGCCGGCAGACGTCCCAGAGACCAGAACCCGACACCTATCCCGAAAGCATTCGCAGACCTGTCATTTCCCAAATAGCCATGCGTTTTGTTGGGTGCTTCAAAGAGAGTTCAGACAACCGGCTGCAACCAGGGCGTTGCCCAGGGCAGTGCTAGAGCGTTGCTCACGCCGCGGTTTGGTTTTGTCGCACATTCAGATCTCGAACGGTGCACCTGGCCTGTGTAGAACTGCAGTTAGAGCAATTAAAAGTCTTGACCCATCAGCATATCACATCGTAGGACATTCCTTTTTGCCAGTGTTTGATCTCTACTTGAACCAACTTGGCTCAAAACAATGGCTCGGCTTGGGGATGCAACTTTGTTGAAGTCTCAACTTGCAACATATTTGGGCCAACATGTACGGTAAAATCATGTAAACTCATCTTGCCATCTGGTCATGTAACATAGCCACATGGAAAATCTCCATTCTTACGGTCGGTAACCCATCTATGTCTATGGGCCATCTATAACATAGCTATGTTAGTCAGAACCAAAGGGTAAAGCATCTTTCCCGTCCTGCAGTTTCGTTTTGTCAACGACCGAAAAGGACACGAGGCGCAGCCAGCGCCAACCTGGAAAGCTCCTTGCCGGCACCTGTCCCAGAGACAGATGAACCATTTTTTCAGCCACCCGTTGCAGAATTCACTACCACGGCGAACCACGAAGAACAGACAACTGGCTGCAACCAGGGCAATGCCCAGGGGAGAGCTCGAGCGTTGCTCACGCCGCGGCTTTGCAACCATTTTTTCAGCCACACGTTGCACAATCAACCACCAAGGACACGCCACGAAGCCAGTGCTGCCAACACCATGCATTTGGACCGCCGCGGATGAGTCAAGTTACGCACAACACACATAGGGAACCACTGTACCCAGAGCATGCCCTTAGCTATTAAACCACTACATAATCTTCCGTCCCATAGTTCCATTCAACCACAAGGCAGAAAGGACCGAGAGTAACCATGTTTTCAGCCACACGTTGCAGAATCAACTACCAAGAACACGACACGAAGTTACGCACAACACACATAAGGAACCACTGTACCCAGAGCATGCCCGTAGCTATTAAACCACTACATAAGCTTCCGTCCCATAGTTCCATTCAACCACAAGGCAGAAAGGACCGAGAGTAACCACGTTTTCAGCCACACGTTGCAGAATCAATTACCAAGGACACGCCACGAAGCCAGTGCTGCCAACACCATGCATTTGGACCGCCGCGGATGAGTCAAGTTACGCACAACACACATAAGGAACGACTGTACCCAGAGCATGCCCTTAACTATTAAACCACTACATAATCTTCCGTCCCATAGTTCCATTCAACCACAAGGCAGAAAGGACCGAGAGGAACCATGTTTTCAGCCACACGTTGCAGAATCAACTACCAAGAACACGCCACGAAGTTACGCACAACACACATAAGGAACCACTGTACCCAGAGCATGCCCGTAGCTATTAAACCACTACATAAGCTTCCGTCCCATAGTTCCAGTCAACCACAAGGCAGAAAGGACCGAGAGGAACCATGTT